TCACTACTACTACTACTACTACCACCACTACTACTACTACTGCTACTACTACTACTACTACTACTACTACCACTACTACTACTACTACTACTAATACTACTACCACCACCATCACCACCACCACCACTACTACTACTACTACCACTACTACTAGTACTACTACTACTACTATTACTACTACTACGACTACTCATACTACTACTACTGCTGCTGCTACTACTACTACTGCTACTACCACTACTAAACGACAACTATAACTACTAACGCTACTACAAATTATACCACTGGTATTACTACGGGTACCACCGCTACTACGACGACGACGGCTGCTACTTCGATTCTCACCACACTTACTACCACGACTACTACGACTACTAAGAAAACTACGCTACTACTACTACTACTACTCCTACTACTACTACTACTACTACTATTAATAATAATACGACCACTACCGCCACGTCATGTACTACTACTACAACTACTACTACTACTACTACTACTACTACTACTACTACTACGACTACGACTACGACTACGATTACTACTACAACCACGACTACGACTACTCTACAAAAGCGGCGGCGACGACTACTACTACGACTACTTCGGCTACTACGACGACTACTACTACTACTACTGCTGCTACTACTACTACTACTACTGCTACTACTACTACTCGTACTAGTACTAGTACTACCACTACTACTACTACTACTACTACGACTACTACGGCGACTACGACTACTACTACTACTACTACTACTACTACTACTACTGCCATTCGTACAATAACTATTACTACTACTACTACTACTACTAACACTACGACGACTACTACTACTACTACTACTACTACTACAACTACCACTACCACTACTACTACCACTACTACTACTACTACTACTACTACTACTACTACTACTACTACTACTAGTAGTAGCACCACCACCACACCTCCTACTATCACTACAACTACTACTACTACTACTACTACTACTACTACAACCACCACTACTACTAGTGCAAGCGCTACGACACGAACGGTTCGCCCCATCACTACGGCAACGTCGACGACCAGCACGACGACGACGACGACCACGACGACGAAAATGAACACTACCATTTCTACCAGTACTGGTATCACGACTACTACTACTACTACTACTACTACGACTACGACTAGGACTACGACTACTACTACTACCACTACCACTACTACTACTACTACTACTACTACTACTCCTACTACTACTACTACTACTACTACTACTACTACTACTACTCCTACTCCTACTACTACTACTACTACTACTACTACTGCTGATACTACCACCTCCACTACTAGAACTACTACTACTACTACTACTACTGCTACTTCTACTTCTACTGCTACTACTACTACTACTACTACTACTACTACTACTACTACGACGACGACAACGACGACGACGACAACGACAACGACGACGACGACGACGACGACGACGACGACGACTACTACTACTACTACTACTATTACTACTACTACTACTACTACTACTACTACTACTACTACTACTACTACTACTACTACTACTACTACTAGTACTACTACTGGTACATGTATTACTACTACTGCTACTGCGACCTACTACGACTACTACGAGTACTTCCCTCGTCGCGCTCCGCCCACCATGCCTCCCTCGCTGCAACTCCCACTTCTTGCAATATTACTATGCGCCGCGTGGGCTCCAGGACATGCGTCCGCTGTCGCGATCGACGATGGCGCGTGTCCGACGATGTTGATGCAGATGTTTCGCCTGCATTCGGCCTCTGGGGGTCGCTTGCAGACGGGCGCGGCTGGATTCGCCGCGAAGACGTGGGCTGGGCGCAATGATTTTCGATGAAATTATGTGGATGCAACTGTGCTGATGTGTGACCCCCATTCCGAAAACCAGATTCTGCGCCTCGGTGAGCGGGCCTTTGATGCGAGCCACTTCGCGAACTTCACCCCCGAGAACGCGGCGACGTTCGGGCCCGTTTGCCGCGGCGTCTTCTTGGCCGCGCCAAACCCGAGAACGCCGTTGCACATGTACTCGGTGAAGTTCATGATAACGGCCATCGTCGGGTCGGGCGAAGGGGGGGGATAGCAAAGGGGGGGTTTGAGAATCAGCTCACGTAGCTGATTTTCCCGGCGCCTCCCGGCGCCGGAGGCGGCCATGTATCGAGGAATGGGCCCCTCGGTGAGGCCGAAACCAGCTGCATGCAGCAAATTTCGTAACCCCCCCTTTCCCAATCCCCCCTTTTCGCCCGGCCCGACATCGGCGGCGGGGCCGCGTCTGGCGCGCTGAGCTCGAAGATGTCAGCGCGCGGGGATAATCCCGCAAGCGGCCCGCCCCGCGTTTCGGCGCGCGGGCGTCCGTGGCCGGAGCCACGTGCAAGGTCCCAGCGAGAGGCCCTCCAAGAGGTCGGGAAAATGCCGTCGAGCTGCTCGAACCGCGCTCCTCCAGCGGCATCGATCGCTTCGCGCCGGGCGAAGCCGCGAAACGCGGCGGGGGCGGCGGCCGCGACGGCGTCGCGGAACGCCTCCGGCCGCGCGACGCCGGCTGGGCGCAGGCCCCCAGGGTCCCGCGGCGCCCGCGCGCGCGCGGCGTCGACAGAGGTGGATCTGTTGGAAGGGGAATATCCACGCCACGACTTTGAAGGAGCTATTTGCTAAAGGAAAAAACGAAGATTTGTGTAAAGTGCCGATGCTCTGTTGCGCGACGACCGCGGCGGCGCGTCCGGATCACGTCCTGCGATCGCACCCTGGATCTCCTGTCGTGGAGCATCAAGAACTCGCTGAAAACATGTCCAAGGATCGCCGCGACCGGATGCAACGCGACCATGGTTATTCGACCAAATCCATCGCGGGGTGAGCTGGCAGGAAAGACAAGGGCCCCCCGGAAATAAACAAAGACAATGAATGCCCCCCTCCACCGACCCCTCAAGCTGCCCCTCGCCCGCCCGCCCCTTCCCCGATGCCATCACGAGGGCAGGTGTTTGTTTTGTTTGTTCTGTGCTGGGCGCGCGCGCAACGTCACTCTCTGCTTGGCGCGCGCAGCGGAACTCTGCGAACGTGGAGTATGGGCTGAGACCAACCTGCGCACGCAATCTAATTGACCGCAATAATTATGGAGAGAACTCAGGATGGAATATTGAATGAATTGACAACGATATGGAAATACCTCAATATGTAATGAATTGAAACAGACGGAATAAATTGACAACAGTGTGGAAATCACTGAATTCGAAATGAATTGACAACAAAATGGAAAGAACTCATATGGAATGAATAGTTCGCCTGCTCTGCGATACCTTTGAACAAAAAACAACACCACGCCATGGGAAGAATCAAAACACCACATCGTAAAGGTTAGAATGCCATGCAACAGTGCTTGCTTGAACTTGTCCGCACCTCAGGCTGGGGTCGGGGCGCCCGAGGCTGGCTGCAGGGTCGCGCGAAGACGCAGCTGACCCAGGCGCAGTGGCCAGGTGTCTTGATAAAGAGTATGTTGCGCTGGCAGTCCACTGCACCTTGATGTCGAGCTGCTCCTCGTTTCTGGCATCGAGCTCCAACCGCTCGTTGCATGACTCCACGGTGAAGCCGTGCATCTTCTGCTAACAGTCCCTGCAATGTGCGAATTTGTCTCCGAGGCAACCAAATGCCTTGTCGCTGCCGACCCAGACGGTTTGCCACATTTAGGGGAATCCACTTTTTCGTCTGTCGCAACAACAACGCATTGTGGGACGACATGCGCGCCACCCTCGGCATCAGCTTGGCGGCGTCGGAGGCGCTGATATCCTCCCTTGAGCTGGCGGGGCCGTACTTCGCTGAGAAAGGGCGACGGCGGAACTCAGCATACAGCCAACCCGTATAATAAGGATGCGCGGTAAGGATGCAAGGACCTTGGAAGGCCATTTCGACGCTCTGGGAGCGGGGCGCGGCCAGCGAAAGTGGCCAAGGATGGGCCGAGGAGGCAAGGATGCAAGGGTTCTGTTATGTTGCTCCCATCGTTCTTAGGGACCACATCAAGAGTCGAGACAGTGTCGAAACAGTGTCGAACGAGTGTCTCCCAGAGCCCGACAGGTGAAAACCCTCGAGTTTGTGTACTTTCTTGCTGCTCGAGATTCTTTCGGTTGCTTCAGGCTAAGGTAAGATGGAACATCAGAATGCAAGGGTACCCTTGGGAAGGTTACCACCGTGCAGGTTGACTGTACAAGGTCTCGGTCGGCACGATTTGGGCCTCGAGGGGCAAGCTTGCTCGGAGGCTGTGGCCCTCGAGAAGGACTTCTCGGCCAGCGCACTGCCAGACGGAGGGAGGGTACCATCGGTAGTTCGAAGATGGGGTCCTGAAGCATAGTGTCCTAAGGATAGCAAGGGATCCAAGGGTGGATTTACGTTGTCTGAGGTACCTCGTCCTTTGGACCCCATCCCTCAGGACCCAATCTTTGAACCACCGATATAAGGAGGGAGGGAGAGAGGGAGGGAGGGAGAGGGAGGGAGGGAGGGATGCGAGGGAGGGTAGGATTCGAGGGAAGGTCTTGATGGGGAGGCGATGGGAAGGGAACCAGAACGGAGTGGGGGCGTGGGCGAGAGGCGGAAAGACGACGGGAGAACAAAGTAAGATACGCTCCTCGCCCGCGCCTTTACCTGGCCTGGAATGGAACAAAAACTAGCCTAAATATAAATGTCGGAGCTCCGCGCGGATGCCTTGGATCTGCGCTGGGCCCCCCTCTCCCTGGCGCGTGGAGCGCGCCCAGGGGCGGCGCCGGAGGCGCCACTTGAGGGGATCCGGCGCCGATCAAAGAAGTCCGCGCGGAGATCGGACAATCCATATTTATCCTGATTTTTCTACTTCTTCTGCTTCTTCTTCTTCTTCCTCTTCTTCTTCTTCTTTCTTCTCTGATCATTCCTCGTGGGCGGCGAGACGCGCCCAGGGCGCCAGCGTGGTGTCCATAGCGCCCCCCCCCCGGACCTGCGGCGGCGACCGCTGGGACTCCGTCGGCGGCGACTGCGGCGAAACCACCGTGGGCCAGAGAGAGCTCGGCCCCGAGAAGTCCATGCCTACCTTCTCGGCGGGAGGCACGGGAGGTGAGGGAGCCAGAACCCAGCGCGCCAGATCGAGCCGCCAGCGGATCACCGAAGACGCCGGACAAAACACGAAGCACCGGTGGACCGGAACCACCGGGACCGAGACGGGGCGTTCGATCGAGAGACCCAGAGCAAGCATGGCCCGAAGGGGCTGCATGCATGCGCCTGCGTCGCCGATGTATCGACGCTGCGGCGCGATCCTCCGCCCCCCTTCTACTCGGCCCCATTTGGGAGGCCTGGAATCGCATCGATCGGATCGATCAAGGACTGACCGTCCCAGCATTCCTACAGGCCTGCCGCGACCTGTTTGTTCCTAGAACGGCAGAGGTGTCAACAAGACATACGTCCTCCTACGAACAGAACGCACTCGTGTTGGAACGCTGCGATTCAATGTATTCTGCTGCGAACGATCCCCACCCCTAAACGCGAGGAGGGCCCCCAGAGAGGAGCCCCCTTGGGGCACCGCGGCCGCGGCGTGCCGTCGTCCTCCGTCGAAAGCGCGAGGCGGGATACCCCATGGGCCGTGCGACCGCGGCCGAAAGAGTGTGCGAGGCGGGTCAGAAGGCCTTTTTATCCTCAAACTACACGCCAGATGGAAGACGTAGGTAAACACATGAAGTAGGAAGGCGGATCAAGTAGATTGGGTCCAAGCCCCCAGAGAATAGCAGGACACAGCAAAAGAAGATCGGTTCTTGAAGCGGGAAGGGGCTCGAGGTAGATTGGGATCTGAGGGACCAAACATACCTACTTCCAACGACCGGCGTGTAACAATTCCAAGCTGTAGGGTGGCGAAGCCTATTCGCCGGGGAGCAGGACGGCACCAATGCTGGCACTCCCCGAACCTCTCCCAGGGTGCGTCCTGACCAGGACTTCGAGGCGGGTCCTGCCGCGGCGCCGAAGGTCTCCCGGGAGGCCCAGAAAGGCGAAGACGAGGGAGAAGTCTCAATAGCGATGCCTCCTCGTCCTGTTCTGTGAACGAGAACATCCGTTTCCCGCGTCGTCGCCGTGCCTTCTGGGCGAAGCTGCCCAAGGCCGCTGCCAGGTTGTCTGGCAGCGACGGCGAGGCCACGTCGCCGCCCTCCGGCGGCAGCGAGGCGGAGCCGACGGAGCGCGCCTCTCTCGGCTGGGCCAAGGAGAAGGAGGACGACGAGGAGGACGAGGAGAAAGACCAGTGTGAACCCCAGACACATCACCGACATTGCATGAAACCCTCCCTGCAACTTCCCTCTTCATAGGTCCCAACGAGAAATTACTTCCATTGCGGAAAAGCTTCATTGGAAAACAAACGTTCGAGAATGTCGCCAGAATGCCATTCCTCGGACATCAGCGCAACGAATCGATCGACTGTTGCGCCCTGGCGATCCTAAACCGCGCCCAAACACCATCCTTGGTTCGGATTTCAACACAACGAATCAACACGACAACTGCGTCCTGACAATCCTAAACCGTGTCAACACACCATACTCGGAACTTCAACCATACGATCCCTTGAAACTGTTGCAATCGTGGAAACAAACATACACAACGCCACGGCGATAATCACATTGTGAGGAAAAACGCCCTCCATTCGTGACGATGCTGCAACAATTCAAAAAAATGTGCGCGGCACTGCGGCGACAAACACATCTTGAAGAGGGACCGCCATCATTCGGTGAAACTGTTGCCACGTCGGACGTGTTCAAACAAATGCGCGCGGTGCTGAAACGATAGCCGCATGTTGAAAAAGGTCTCTCCATCCGTACTCAAAAGAACTGGGCGCGGCACTACGGCGAGAACCACACATTGAAAACGGATCGGCCCGCCTCCATCTGTTAACCTGTTACAAACTGCAAGCTTCAGGATCACACATGATAGGGAAGTCTCAAACAACACTCTAGGCCCACCCTACCGACACGTCTACGGGTGCGACAGGAAGTTGTAGAAGGAACAGGATGAAGGGCGGGGAAGAAAGGCGCTACGATCCGAGTTGGTCTGAGCTTGCCGAACGTCCAAGACGAGGGAGGAGGAGAGGGAGGAGGAGGAGGAGGAGGAGGAGGAGGAGGAGGAGGAGGAGGAGGAGGATCAGGAGGAAAGGGAGGGGGAGTAGGAGGAGAAGGAGGATGAGGAGGAGGAGGAGGAGGAGGAGTAGGAGGAGGAAGATGAGGAGCAGAAAGAGGAGGGGGAGAAGGAAGAGGAGGAGGAGAGGCAGGAGGAGGAGGAGGGGAGGGGAGGAGGAGGAGGAGGGAGGAAGGGTGCAGGGAGGGGGAGGGGCGGGCGGACAGGCGGAGAAGCGAGACCAATCGAGGGGAGGGCCCGGCCGCGCGAGCGGTCCGCCGGAGGTCTGCCAGGGAAGTCGGGCACTCGACGCTCCAAAAAGCCCTGGGCAGCGCGGACAACCTGTACCCAGCAGAGCGTGGACAAAGCTGAGGCCCACCGAGGCCCTAGTGAACGTTTCTCATTCGGCGTTTCGACATTGAGCGAAGAGGGGGGGGGATGGGGGGGGCGTCTGGCTCTGGACAATTTGCTCAGTGCGACTGTTTGCGAACATGCGTCCTATGAGGGGAGACTCCACCTGCTCAAAACAGGCGCCTCAAACAGCAGAAATCTACTCCATGGGGGGTGCGAGGACCCTCGCCGATCGGCAAAACAATACATAAAAAACACGACCTACAAAGCTCGCCCTGAAACAAGATGTATCGTTTCCGTGTTGTTTTCGTTGTGCCTCGTTGTTTCTTCGTTCCCCCTTTGCTAGGGAGCCGCAAGATGACGTACGCGCGCGCCGAAGTACGTACGTGAATTCGCCAGCCCAACGGGCCAAAGACGTGCTAAGATCTCCGGTAACAGGTTCACAGTATTTCTAGTTCGCGCGCGCGTGGCGGCCCGTGGGGACCCAAAAAAACCCATGCCGATTCCCTGGGCGCTCCAGGATCGCGCCAAGAGGGCGCCGGGACGCCCCCTACAAGGCCCAAGAGGCCCCCAATCGCCGAGAGATCGTTCCAAGACGCTCAAGATGGTCTCCAGATGGCCACAGAGGCTGCGAAAAAGCCCCAAGGGAGCCTCAAGAGGCTCTCCAAGAGAGCCCCAAGAGGCAAAAATTGCCCCATTCCCTCCGGAAAAGTAAGTTTGTTGCATGTGCGACGTGTGGGAGTTCGCAGCGTCCAGAACTGCCCCAGAGGCCTCCAACATCGTCCCCAGACGGCCCAACACGCCCTCAAGATGGGCCCAAGAGAGCCCAAGAGGCCCCAAGACGGCCCAAGATGGCCCCAAGACGGCCAAAAAGGCGCCCAAGAGGGCCTAAAACGGCCACAAGAGGGGCCCAAGAAGGGGACCAGGAACCGACAAGTCCAGCCTTTAGCCCCAGGAGGCCCCCCAGGAGGCCCCGAGGGTCCCCCAAGAGGCACCCCAAGAAGCCCCCGAGAAGCACCCCAAGAGGCCCCCAAGAGGCACCCCAGAAAGCCCCAGGAGGCCCCAACACGGCCCCCAAGAGGCCTCCAAACTCCCTCCCAGAGGCTCCGGAGAGGCCAACCACGAGAGCCCAACCAACATCCATGAGGCCTCTGACCCACCACCCGCCGCCTCCGAAAAATGGCAGCCGCCCAACGGCACCGCATTGACAACAACACCCCGACAAACGACAGCGGCGAGGCAGGATGGGCCGGCGGAGTGAGCGAAGCGATCAAACAAGTACCCCGCGAGCGGGCCCTGCAATCCAAGGGAAAGATGGTCGGATAACTCTACGCATCGGACAATGATACTATCCGACGCTGCTGCACCATGCACTCCCCCCCGCCACGCATGCTCCCTTGTGCGACGTCTCTCCGACAGCCTGAACATGCCCATGTACACAGACGCCATTTTTCTGCTCCTGCTTTGCTGAGAAAAAAAGCTGAACCGAAAACGGTCATCGAAGTCGCCCAAACAACTTTTAGGTCGAACCCAAAGGCGCTACGAGCGCGCCCACCAAGGACCACCCGAAGGGCACGGGCGCGCGTGAGGAGGGCTCGCGTCGTGGCGAAGCCCGCGCGTTGGCTCCTGGCACCGCGAGGATCGTTCGGCTACACGCAAGAGTGACCCTGGAACCAAAGAAGCCGTGCCATGACGTCACATCGGCTAAAGTAAGAATGGAAGCGAGGCAACGACAGCTCCATTCGGGGATGGACGGAACCCCCTATAGTAGAGCGTGGTTTAGTGAAACCGACCTCTGGCCCAAACCTGGCGGGCGCAAGCCTGGAAAATAACGACCGCGGCGCCCTCTCGAGAACCGAAACCAGACAATTCACGAATCGACGTGTCAGGGTGGGGGGCTCTGTCCACCCCCGATCCATTAGCGGCTTGCCTGTTTTATCCCAAGCGGGAGGGGGGAACCCGAGGGAGGGGCAGGGAGGGAACCGGCAGGGGCGACAAAAAGCAGGCAAACCCCTATGAAGGAGTGCGGCAGTGCTTCCAGACAGTGGTCTTCCGACTAGGCAAGATTGACCTTTGGTGCGCGGCTTAGTTGGGGACACGGGGTGGCGGAACCCAGGCGCGCAAGACGCTGCTGCCGCTTCGCGTTCAGCGATCGGGGGACCCCTAGGTGCCCGCACCAAGGGTCACTCCGGCGCAGGGTCACTCTTACATCTAGTCACCTTAAATAAACGGTCGCGGCTGTCCGATCGCGCGCGTCGTTCGAAGTCGGCCGATTCTGGGCCATTGGCTGCGTTCAACCTCGAACGCCCGCGGCTGGGTGGCCGTCGCATCGACACGACGTGAATTCGACGCAGCCGTCTGCACTGGCTCTTTGAAACGACCATCGACTTTGATTAACGAGGACACGCGAGCGGACACAAGACCATTCCGAGGGCCGCATTGCCCTAGGAGTGCAGAGGACACCTGTCGTGAGCAAACAGGACGCAAGGCTATCCGTGCTTTGACAAGGTCGACCTGCTAATCAAACTCGACTGTAGGAGCCCGAGTAGGATGAGAAGACGCAGCGTGGGCGCGGTATCAACGCGCCTGAACTCCAGGCAGCGGAGGAACATCTGGAGGTTGATCGGCAAGTCGACCACCATCGACACATTCGATCGCACTTGGTCGGTCAACCGGGATGCGATCCACCAGCGGAAGAGGACAGTATAGAGAAGGAGACAGACAATCAAGGAGAACGACACGAAGAGGAGAAGGAGGGCAGAAGAAGGGGGACGAGGAGGACGGGAGAGCTGGGCGAGCAGGCTGGAAGGACGGAGAGGCCAGAAGGATAAGGGAAAAGTCGCATCTTGAAGAGGGAGCATCTGGTCGGACAAAGAAAGGGAATCGCAAAGGGGGCCCTGCGAATCGGCAAGGAAAACGCCTAGCCGCGGGGCCGAAACTAAATCTATGCAGCAGATTCCGTAGCCCCCTTCTCCGCGGCGAGCGAGGGGCGGAAGTGAGAAGGACAGGGCCCTCTCAGAAAGCGGCGGGGCTCCTCAGAATCCTGAGAAGGTCCCCCCCCGTGCCTCTGGGGAAAGCTCCGGACATGTCCTTGAAGGCCGGCCGCCTGCCGAGCCTTCTGAGAATGAAGGGGCCCCAGGACACACAAATAGGTACACACTAATAAACAGATTCCCATATTTTCCCGTATTTTCTGGGTTTTTGTCTTCCCCCGACTTCCCCTATTTTCCCATATTTTTCTGGGAATCGACGATTAATTGTGTCTGTGTGTTTTTTCCCCTCCTGAGAGAAGACCCGCCCTCATTCTCACTGCCCCCCTGGGCTGGCCGCCGAACTCCCTGACCCCCGCTTTTTTCGTCGGGCACGAAGATTTGAACGCCCGAAATGGGTACGTCAGGTTCGCGTCGTGACGACCCCGGCGTTGGTTTCTGACTCCGCATGGATCGTTCAACCTTGAACGATCGGCGACTGTGGATCGCTCCATCGGTCCATATAGGCCGATTCTGAGCCACTGGCGGCGTTCAACCTTGAACGCCCGCGGCGGGGTCGCCGCCGGTCGACACGACGCGAACCTACCGTACGGAAAAAATGGGCACAATGCCCAACAACAAATGTTGCCCCAAACCAACAGCGGCCGCTGTTGGGCAGGCGGCCTTCTGTCTCGAATGGACACAGGCCGCGGCGGCGTGGGCAGCGGATCCTGTTCAAAATGAACAGGAACTGCTGTTGGGCATTGTACCCATTCTTTCGGTACCCATTTCGGGCGTCCAGAGAGGAGAGGAAGGAGGATGATGACGACGAGGAAGGAGGCAGACCCGCGTCTCGGCGGAGCCGACCGTCGCGTAGCGCGCGGGCTGGCCCCTCCAAGAGTCCGTGGGCTGGGCCTCGTCCATCTCCTGCCGGAAGGGGGGGGGGCCTCCTCCTCCTGCGGGGGCTCCCGCTCCGCGTGAAAAGCCAGCCCACGGAGGGCGGACGTTGTGCCTTCGGACGGCGAAGATGCTGGCTCCCGCTGAGGGCAAGACCGTGTGCCACAGTGTTTTGCCTCCCGCTGCTGTAGAGTGTGCGTCTTCAGTGTGCTGATTGAGGAGGCTGCTCAAAGCACCCCTCCGCCGTCCTAACTCCTGCCTCCACCCTCTTCCCTCTCCTCCTCACCCTCGTCCCTTCTCCTCCTCATCCCCCTCCCCTTCGCTCCTCCTCCTTCTCCTCCTGCTCCTCCGTCTCCTTCTCCTCGCTGGGATACTCCCAGGATGAGAATGACGCTGGGCAACAAGCTGCAGCCGAAAACTACATACCTACCAGCGGAGAGAACGCAAATCGTCGGCTACGGCTATACGAAGACTTCTGCATTCCGCCGTTCGCCCCCCCCTCCTACCCCCTCCTTCCCCCGCCAGTTCTCCCTACACCTCTCCTCCCGCCGCCCTCGCCTCCTCGGTCGGTCGGCCGGACAGTAACGACACGACAAGTCTCTTAGCCGAGGCAAGCACTTCCTGTGCCTTCTTGCCCCGTGCCCCCGAAACAGCAGGCTCACGACAGTGGGGCACCAACTCTTCCACTTCCCAACGGGGGGAGCGGAGGTGACAGGGTTGAAACGTCACAGCGTGCTCGCAATCATCTCGAGAGGCCTCCGCACGCGAGCCAGCAGAACATGCGATCTCACACCGAGCAAAGCTGGGAGGGGCTCGGTGTAGACGCCACGTCGTTAGGTCGGCCACTGGGCTCGGTGTGTAGGCGCTCCAGCTGCCAAAGCTGTAGGACGCAGGAGCGTCTACACACCGAATTTCTTCGCCGAGCTCCATGGTCGTGCAAACGACGCGCTGTACACATCGAGCCCCTCCCAAAAGCCTGGCAAACCCAAGTGTTATTGTATCGAGCATGCCTCTTAACATCCACATTCCCACGGAACGGTGCCGGCGGCCCTGGCTGCTGCCGGGCTGGTCCTTGGGCCGTGTTCCTCCCCTGCCCCCGCCTCCCCCCAAGCGCCGGGCACCGAGGACGGGGGCAGTGACCAGCTTTGGAAGAAGGGAAAGCGGAGTGAACATGAACGTTCGGAGGTCCGCGCGGATTTCTTGGATCGTACCACCTTGTGCCAGGAGTGCGCGCGTTTTCAAAGTCTTCCTGATGGGCAGTGCGAAATTGCCACCACAGGGCCCGCGCCGCTCGCGATCATCGCCGTCTTTTCCTCAAGAATGCGGCGCGAACCCTGCGTCCCAAGGTGGGCAAGCCCATATCACTACATTAGCACAGGGGAGGTTGCACTTGAGAGCCGTTGACCCCCTTGCCTACAGGGTGGGAACCAACTTGCGCTTGAGACACGTTGTCATCCTCGCCTCCGGACCTCGCCTGCCGCGAAAACTTTATACTGAGGCGCGCTGTGTTTCTGTCCGTCCCTCGGCCGTCTTCAACAGCTCCTCCAGTGGCTCGCTAGCCCCCCCTCCCTCGCTCCTCCTCCCCGTCCTCCCTCCCTCACTCCCCCTTCTACGTACTACCTTGTTTCGTCCTTTGCCGGGGCGCAAAACAGGACCGTTGCGCTTGGGGCACGCGGCGAGGGGAGGGGAGTGCTCCGCCGTCGGATACAGATTCCGCGGACTCAGGATCTGAAGAGCGAGCTTCCGAGGCACTGCCTGTCGTTTTTCTGGCCGCGGGCAGCCCCGCCGAGGTGACTCGTAGCGTAGCCCCCTCCCGCTCCCCCTCCCTCCCTCCGTCGGAAGGCCGCCCACGTGGGGCCCGAGCAGACGAGGTCCGAGCATGGCGTCGCATCGCCAACGTTGGGCGCCCGAGTTATCCGGGGTAACTCGGGTCCGTGGTAACTCGGGTTTGGATTCCCGAAAAAGGAACCCGAGTTACCCCTGACCCGAGTCACCCCTGATGATTCGGGGCTCTGACAACGCGTTGGCAACGCTGGCAGTGCACCAGCGACGTCGGCGCGGGGTGGCTCGACACCGAGCCGCCGAGCCGGTGCACTGGCGACGTGCGGCCAGATCCACCGGCCCCATCTGCTTCGACCGCATCGGGGCGGCCTGGACCATCGTTCATCGCCTCCTCCCTCCCCCCCCCCTCGGGGAGACGTAAGACTCGGGTACGGGGGACTCGGGTTGTCCTGAAGGGGCCATCATGAAAATGACGAGACCAAATCTGAAATTTGACGCGAGCTCCCGCTGTAGACATCCCACGAAAACTAGACCGTCAAGATCCAGGACGCGCTCGCCAAAAAAACGTCGGCAACCCCGAGTTCCGGCTTACTCGAGTCTTACGCTTCCCCGACCCTCCCTGGAGACAAACACCGATAGCGCTGCTGCCCGGACCTAGCCTGGGGTTCGCTCCGACGAGCATACCGAGGTCTCCAGCGCAGCTCCAGCAGTGGCGACGAGGTCTCCAGAGCAGCGGCGGTACCGGTATCGTCTCATTCTCTGAAACTGGACGTCTCCGAGAAAAACATCGGGATGATACAGTGGAGGCCAGTCCGCACGAGAGCTTCCGCAAGAAACCCAACCCTGAGACCCCAGGACGTCCATTGATTTTTGGTGTAGGAACGTCACGCCTTCCACAGCAAAACCACCGAAACCCAGGGCACCCTGGAGGCAAGCAGGGTGTTTCTTGGCATGGGCCTCCGCTGTAACTCGGGCCTCGGGTGGCTGTTCGGGACGATCCAGGCATTCCCGGAAAACCCTCGACGGGGCGCAGCTGACGGAAACCACCCCAGGCCCCACATCATTGGAAGCCGTACACAAACAACGGCAGATCGAGGAGGCATCAACAAAACGATCCCCACTTCCCCTCCCCTCCTCCCCCCCTTCCTCCCCTCCTCCCCCCCTTCCCCCCCTCCTCCTCCCCTCCTCCACCTCCTCCCCCCCTCCCCCCCTCCTCCACCCTCCCCCCCCTCCCCGAGCCACGACGCCTGAGAGACGACGCCCCTCCACCGCGGCGCGAGCGCAGGGCGTCCTCCAGCCGCGCGGACATCCTCGCCACCGTCCGCGCCAGCGCCTCCAGCCCCCCCGGCACGGCGCCGGCCTGGAGGAGGTCCTCCTGGCGCGCCGTGAGGGCCTCGAGGCCCTCGATCCTGTGCGGTAGTAGGCGGCGCGCCCAGGGGGGAAATGAGACGGGGCGGGCCTTCTCGGGAGGCTCGGGAGTTACCTGGCCTCCTGAGAAGTGTTCCAAGCCTTCCCCGAAGACAGACATCAAACTTCTCAGAGGGCGCGAGGGCTTCTGAGAAGTCCCGCCGCCTTCTGACAAAGGCCTTCTCCTTCTCACTTCCCCCCCTCGCCCGCCGCCGAGGTAGGGGGGGGGGGGGGCGGGGGTCAGGAGGCACAGGCAACCCGTGTAGTGAGGCTGCGCGTTCAGGAGCTTCTCGAGCGGGGCGTGGCCCACGAGGGTGGCTCGGGATGGGCCGAGCAGGGAAGGATGTGATGATACCTTGGGAAGGTTGCCCATCCGTGCTATGCGGGTGGACTGTCCTGCTGCCTAAAAGGACACCCGTTGCTCGAGCGAGCTGCCGCGACTGCCATCGCGTCGCGAGAGCTATGGCCGCCCGCGCCCCGCGGGTGTCGCCACACGTTTCTGTGGCAGCTCGTCGAAGCCTCTAAGACCATCTTGGTCTTGGTGGCTAACTAGTGGACGCTACGAATATGCGCACATCGACGCGCATCGATGCCAGACTACCAGATGGTGGTCAACTAGTGGACGCTACATCGCGCATCGCTGATGGTGGCGAATACCAGACGCCAGTCGACGCTACATCGACGTGAAACGGCGCTATCTCATCGATTCCAAGACGCGAGTCGGCGCCAGTGCATTCTAAAGACGGAGCTGCAAACACACGCATGGCTCCCATTACTATTCGCTACCGGAGCACGGCGAGCCTCGCGGGACCGCGCTCCATCGGACTCGAACCTACGTGCCAGCGATGGGCGGACGTCGGTGGCAGTCTGAACGGTCCCCCCCTTGGAGTGCGATAGGGAAAGGAATCCTAGATTCCAATGGGAGGCAGGGGATGCGAACGAGACGGAGGAAGGAGAAGGAGGAGGGATCGGGACGCGAGGGAAAGAAGGAGGAGAAGGAGGAGAGAGGACGAGGGAGGTTGTCGAACGTCGGATAAAGCCTCTCGCTGTTATCCCTGGAAGATGGAAGAGGAAGCAGGGAGGAAGGAGGGAGGAATGCGGGAGCAGCAAGACCTGCTTGTCCTGATTTCGCTTCAACATTCGATTGGTCTCCAGTGTCCCATTGCTCACGCACCGTCTGGTACCTGACAGCTCAGCGCCGACCCAGGCAGACGACAGCACCATCCACAGCCCAAGGAGGAGGGAGGGAGGAAGCATGCGACTTGCACGTTGGCTCCTGGCACCTCGTGGATCGTTCAACCCAAGGCAAATCGCGGCTTTCCCACAGCGCAGAATCTTTCGGTACCAGCTGGTTCCGACATCGGCGGCGGCGTTATCCCTTGGACGCCCTTGCCAGGGTCAACGACGCGCCAGTGCGGTGCGGACCTGCCGCAAGATGCGACAAGACGGCGCCATTAGTGACGATGGGCGGCATGACCACAGCAGCAACGACCACTGCTCACTTGGTTGCTTCCGCCAGAAGAAGAAGAGGGAGGCGGTCGTCGTCGTCGTCGGCCTCCTCCTCCTCCTGTTCCTCCTCCTCCTCATCATCCCTGTCCTGCCTCTCATCCTCTTCAGAAGTAAGAAGGAGGTCCTGCTCCTGCTCAGGGGGGGAAGGGCGAGAGGGAGGGGCGAGAACGATACGGAGCCCAAAGGACGAACGCGCCCAACCACGTTACGTGAATACGGCCCCCCAATCCGCGAGACCAGCCTCGCGATACGCACGTTCGCGCGATGAGAACTTTCGAAATTAGCGTGGACTCCTGTACGTGTCCGTCCTTCTTTCGCTCCTGACAGGAGCAGGAGCACGACGACGTCGACGCATCGACGAGGGACGTCCAGGGCCTGGCCCCAACATCTGCATGCTTGGAGCCCTCTCCTCCTCCTCGGGAGGGGCGAGGAGGACCCACAAGATCGACGCATCGACCAGGGACGGCCGACGCCGACCCCAACATCTCTTGGGGATCCCAAAACCGTGTGGTAACAGACCGTGCGGTGACCTCGGAACCCCAAGATTTGGACGCCCGAAATGGGTACCGAAAGAATGGGTACAGTGCCCAACAGCAAATGTTGTCCCGAACCAACAGCGGCCGCTGTTGGGCAGGCGGCCTCCTGTCTCAAATGAACACAGGCCGCGGCGGCGTGGACAGCGAATCCTGTCCAAAATGAACAGGAACTGCTGTTGGGCATTGTACTCATTCTTTCCGTGCCGATGTCGGGCGTCCAGACAAGAGACCTCGCCGCACGGTCCGTCACAACACGGTCTTGGGACCCTGGAGGCCCCCGTCGCCCAAGACACCCTCGGAGAGGGACTCGAATGCCCAAACCGTGCGGCGACCCCGAATTCGGCGGTGGACAAACCTCCCTTTAATAAGCCTCCCTTTAGTGAGAACGGCCTGGGACCGAAACCGACGGACCTGGACCCGCGAAAACGACGGCCGCGCCGCCCTCCCGCGAACCGAAAACGGCCGATTCAATAATCGACGTGTCAAGGTAGGAGGTCTGTCCACCCCCGGCGAATCCCCACCGACTCACCACACGGTGTGGTCACCACCCCGTTTGGAGGCCCCCAGCATCTTTACCCGGGGCCCGCTGTGGCCGGAGCTCCGTCGGGAACCTGGCCGCGCCCGCCCAAGGGGCGCCCACAGGGGCCCGCGAGACCGCCCAACGAGGACCTCGGCCCTCAACCCTTTACTCCCTGGACTCAGTCTGAGCGCGAACAAGGTTGTCCGCGCCACCTGCCACTTACGCCACCGCATGGCCACAGCCAGAGGCGGGTGGCGCCTCCCGAACAGTGCCCTGAAGGCGAGGCCAGCGCACAGCGGGCTGGCGGATATGAGAGCCGCGCGGGGCATGGCGCGGCATGACACTAGAGCGGTTGCACCACTTCTGCACAGATCACTGAAGCAGTGCGCAGCGGACCCTCGAGGCACCGCCACGCACGATTGACCTGGAAGCGCGCTGGCGCACAAGTGAGGCCCGAGAGAACACGAGCGCCCCACGTGCCTGGAGCAGGGGGGCCTCGACAGCCCTGCGACAAGTTCGCAGAGATCTTGACCCCACCCAGCCCGCACACAACGCACACAGTACACCACAACCTCCGCCCCTCGTCCCCAATAACGGCGAAGGGGTGCATGACATGCGGTCTCCCATCCGCAAGCTGCACCCGTACAGAGGCGAGGTCTGCTCTCGACAGACTGCGCGGCGTGACTGGCGGCGGGGGCTCCACCACCAGCCTCGGCACAGGGCGGTTCACTTCGCCAGGGCCACGAGCCTTGCGCTGCCGCCGAGAGACATGCTCACAATCAACGTCGCACATGCGAGGCCCGATACGCGCAACCCAGGACGCCCATTGAGAGAGCACGAGGGCCTTAGCTTTGCGAGCCTTGCGGAGCTCACGGTCAACGCGGGCTCTCGAGGCCATCCACTGAGCCCAGTCGTCAGCATGCGCGTTGCCCTCCTTTACAAAACGCGTAGAAAGTCCAGACTGAATGCGAGCCTCGGTGCAGTGACCTTTGACTTTGCGCAGGTCGATGCACTCGATGCCGCCCCAGTCGTCGATGCGGCGCCAGACTTGGACCCATAGCTCGGACCAGGCTGCGCGCGACGAGCAACAATACAACTTGCCACGCTGGTAAACTCCATCGTGGACGAAGGCTGAGTCGGTATAAAAAAATACTGCCAGGATCACTGTGCTGCAGGGCACGGTTGAAGGCAAACAGCTCGGCACAGTCAATATGTTGGCACACACATTGGAGGGAGCCGCACATCACCGAGTTAACCTTGTACGGATACTGCGGCTGCACACTGACAATGGCCCAGCCTACGGCCTGAGACGCTGGCGGCAGATGCTGGTCCATCCAGCTGGCGTCAAGAAAGATGTGCCCTGCCATCTCGGTGGGTCCTCCACCGAACCACCGATCGGGGAGGGAGTTCGCAGGAGGAAGGGGAGCCCCGGGGACAAGGAGCCCCTCAGCGAAGAGGAGAGGAAGAGGGTCGACGCTCGCCCTGACCACCGAAGTCAAGAAATCAGGTGGGACCTCCTGTGCCGCGATGTCATCGTGGCCCGCACAGCTCGCGTGACGATGCAAGAGCGTGCCAGGGGCCTGCTGACACAAGCGGCAAAGGGGGTCGGCGGTGTACTGCGCAAGCCACTGACGATGCTGAGGCCACTGTCCCCCTGCGACAACACTCCTCAGGTAGGCCTTCTCATCGTGTCTGAGGACATTAGAGGCTAAAAGAGACTGCAGAGGCTGAAAATTGCACCCAAGAGAGAGCTCAGGAGCACCTTCTCTCGAGGCCACTTTTTCCCAGAGCCACTGCAGCACGACATGATAGAACCACTTGCGAGGCCCTGATTGCAATATAGAAACCTCGCCGTGCCGAGGATGCGACCACGAAAAACCTTGCATGCTGATGCCGAGCCGCAAAGCTGTAGCGACACACGCAGAAAAAGGGCCACGGATGCTGGCCCACGGATGCCAACCTCCTACTCCCTCCTCCTCCTCCTCCTCCTCCTCCTCGTCATCCCTCCTCCTCCTCCTCCCTCCTCCTCCATCCTGCGACGACGACGACGAGACGACGAAGACGACGACCACGAGATCTACGCAAACGACGACGACGAACACGACGATAACGACGACGAAAACTACGAAAACAACGACAATGACGACGACGACGACGACGACGACGTGGGGCCTCAGGTTGCTCCTGCGAGATATGGCCGTTGCAGTCATGACACACGAGGCGAATCCGTCCAATTTCGAGCTTCATCACAGACCGATCTGGCTCGAAAAACCGGCAGAACGATGAACGATGGGGCCAGGGTTCCAGTCATAGACTTTCTCGTGGTGTTGCAATTTTTCGCCACGGCGGATCTCAGGGCCAGGGCCATCGCCGCCGACGCCAGGGGCGGTCGACAACGACGATCGACGACGACGACGACGAAGACGACGACGACGGCAATCGACGGCGACGACTACGACTACGACGACGACGACGACGGACGACGTCCACGACAACGACGACGAGGACGACGACGACGACGACGGCCGACGACGACGGCATTGACTACGACGAGGACGGCGGTCGACGACGACGACGACGACGACGGCCAACGTCGACGACGAACGACGACGGCCGACGGCGACGAAGACCACAACAACCGAGCACACTTGAAGGGAAACTGGGACACACAAATAAATACACACAAATAAAATTATTCCCCATACTTGCCCATATCTTCTGGGTTTTTGTCTTCCCCCCCATTTCCCATACTTTCCCATATGTTCTGGGAATCGCAGATTAATTGTGTCTGTGTGTTTTTTCCCCTCCCGAACACTCCTCGCGCTGCCACGGAACGCCGAGTGAGGCACGACGGAGCTGCTCGCGCCGGGCCACGGCGCGCCCCGGCCGCACGAATGCAGAGGCTCCCCGACCAGGATCCGAGGAGCGGCCCGCGGACCAGACCCCCGCCGGAGCCCGAAGGGGTTCTTCACTTGGGCGCCCGAGTTATCCGGGGTAACTCGGGTCCGGGGTAACTCGGGGTCGGACTCCCGAAAAAGGAACCCGAGTTATCCCTGACCCGAGTTACCCCTGATGATTCGGGGCTCTGGACTCCCGAGTTATCCGGGGTAACTCGGGTCCGGGATAACTCGGGTTCGGACTCCCGAAAAAGGAACCCGAGTTATCCCTGACCCGAGTTACCCCTGATGATTCGGGGCTCTGATTCACTGGGGGGGGGGGGAAAGGTACCGATACAGAGGAGGCCAATCCACGAATGTAGAGGCTCCCCGACCGGGATCTGAGGAGCGGCCCGCGGACCAGACTCCCGCCTGAGCCCGAAGTGCTTCTTCACTGGGGGGGGGGGGGGGAACAGGGGAACAGGGGAACGAAGATTGGACTCGGAGGTCTGCGCGGATTTCTCGGATCCGCGCTGGACCCCTTTGGCGGCGCCTCCGGCGCCGCCCCTGGCGCGCTCCGCGCGCCAGGGAGGGGGTCCAGCGCCGATCCGAGAAATCCGCGCGGAACTCCGAGAATTTATGTTTATGTTAGTGCTCGCTTCCCTAGGAAAGGTACTGATACCAAGGAGACCAGTCCACGCGAAACCTGCCAGAAGAAACCCAACCCTGAGACCCCAGGACGTCCGCAGATGTCTGGTGTGGGAACGGCACGCTTTCCGTAGCAAAGCCATCGACACCCAAGAAACCCAGGGCACCCTGGAGGCAAGTAGGGTGTTTTCTTGGCATGGGCCTCCACTGTACTCCCTCCTGATCCCGACGTGGTTCTTCCCTGAAAGGGGTGGGGGGAAGGGTACCGAAACTGCTAATTACTGCAAAGGCCTCTCGTGGGGTGCGCTCGTACCAGGATCTCGATGCGAATCCAGCCGTGGCGACGAGGGCCTCCCAGCAGATCCAAGGAGGCGAATATGAGGCAGTGGAAGTGGTATCGGTACCCTGAGATCCGACGTTGCGAAACATTGCAACGGCGCGGAGAAAAACTCAGTCAGAGCTCTGGAGACAATCTTTCTGCTGCGTCTTTCGAGCCAGATCGATCTGTGATGGTCCCGAGGCCCGAAGCCAGGCGAAGACGGCCAGGGTGAAATACAGCAGCGCTCAGATCTCAGCCCATTTTAGCATCTTGACTGTATGGTTGACCGTCGACGACGGCGGCCAGGCCCAGCCACGAAGGCCTCTTGGGCTTCTGGCCCGTACCTCGGGCCTCTCGGCTCCGGCGGCCGCCCGGGATGACCCGGGCACCCCCGGAACGCCCTCGGTGAGGAGCAGCTGCTGCAGCGCATCCCGAGGCAGGAAAGCGATCGGGAGCCGACGCACATGTCGAAAAAAGCCCCGGAGCCCCTCGGACTCGCCACACGGCGCGGTCACCTCGGATGACCAACGGGTCCCTCCCAGGCTCGGGGGCGGCCAAGAGGGGGGTGTCCAAGAGGGGGGGATGCAAATCATAGCTGGCGGCATGTGCGCGGCCGGGGGGGGGGGCCAGGGAACGCATTGAAATAAGAAGAGGCGCCACGAGATCCGATCTGGGGAAATATCATGGCCCCCGCCATGACATCCACTCCCCCCCTAGTCATCACCCCCCTCTTTGCCGCCCCCGACAGATGACCAGAGTCCCTCCCAGGCGCCGGGGCGGTCCGCTCGTCGATCTGCCGCTGGTGCGAGGCGATCGCCTCCACGCGCAGCGACAGCGCCTCGGCCGGGCGCTGCCCCGAAGAGGGCCCTCGCCACGCCCGCGGCCCGCCGAGCGCCGCCGCCGAGCCCCGTCGCCGAGCGCCGAGCGCCGAGCGCCGAGCGCCGTCGCCGTCGTCGACGTCTCCGTCGCCGTCGCCTCCGTCGACGTCGCCATCACCATCGCCGACCGTCGTCGGCGACCGTCGTTCTGGTCGTCGTCGCTGTGGCCACCGAGCGTCGTCGTCGGCTGTCGCCGTCGTCGAGGAGCGAGCCTAGAGGCCAAGGGGGCCCCAAGACGCCGCCAAGGAGCCCCAAGAGACTCCCAGGAGGTCCCCAAGAGGCCCCCAAGAGGCTCTAAAGAGGGCTCCGGGGCCGGCGGAATGAGCGAAGCGATTAGATAAAAAACCTGTGAGGTCTGGCGTGTCTGCGTAATGTAGCGGGCGTCGCGGCCTCCTCAGAGCATTGCGGAACGCTCTTGGAGCATTCCAGCGCGATCTGGAGTGAGTTATCCCGTTCCTGGCCCTTCTGGGGCGCCTCTGCGTGGGCACCTGCTGGGCTTCCCTCAAAGCTCTGACCAGAACGCGCCCCAGAAGAGAGATCCAGGGATCGGTCGGTCGGTCGGTCGTCGTCGACGTCCTTCGTCGCCCGCCGCCCGCCGCCCGTCGCCCGTCCCCGTCGCCCGTCGCCCGTCGCCCGTCCTCTGTCGTCGTCGTCGTCGTCGTCGTCGACATCGTCGTCGTCGTCGTGGTCGTCGTCGTCATCATCGACATCGTCGACCACCGTGAGCCGTCTACGCCGTCGTTGTCGTCGGCCGCTGTCCGTCGTCGTCGACAGTCGCGATCTTCTTCGGCCGCGGCTGCACGGCCGCCGCGAGCCTCTGCGGCCGCGCGAGCCCTCCGACGCACCTCGCTCTCACTGTCGTGCACGCCGCCCCCCCCGCCAGGGCTTCTTCGGTGCCCGCTGGCGGGTCCCGAGGGGAATGGGACCTGCACCCCGAGGAGGAGGGTCCTGAAGCCTGCCAAAGCATCATTCTCGGAAGTTCGACGCCGCGAATCATCTCGATTGTTGCGTCTTGGCGATCACGCATGGTGCCAGCCCGCCTCCTCAGGACCTCGACACCGCGATCACCGCAACTGCTGTTCCCGAGGGGCGGGTCTTCCCCTGGTGGCCAATTCTCCATCCGGGGTCGTTTTCAACCAACACGAGAGGCCCGTGGAGGGTCGAGGAGAACAGGAAACGGAGAGAAAGGCCGCCAGAGGCGAATAGGACAACAGAAAAGGTTTCGATACAACAGAAAAGGTACAGTAGGACAATAGAAAATGTACAACAGAAAAGGAACACTCTCCTGGGAGTGCCGGTGCGTTCTGACAAGAATGCCGGGAAGAATCCAATCGTGGCGACGAGGGCCCTGATTCTGACGTTGCGAACATCAGGGGGACGGATTGGTAATGAGGGTATGGCAGAGGCGGGGTCAGGGGGAACATCGTTCAAGATGGCCCGTGGAAACACGACATGTGAGCATCTATCGACTACGCGGAAAAGCGACCCTGGGTAAGAGGTGACCTTTGGTGCGCGGCTGTTTGGGGGCCGCGGGGGAACCAAACACAAGCGCGCAAGACGCTATTACCTGATCGCGTTCGGCGATCGGGGGGGCCCCTTGGCCCCGCACCACATGTCAATCCGTTGAAAGGTTACTCGTGGGTGTAGTCGACTCTGGCTGGGTTCGCTCCCAAACCCCACCTTGGGACCCCTTTCCCCCCCCTTCACGACCCCCCCCCAGAGCAAATTGCAACATCGCGAAGAATCACCACCCGAGCCCTAGACTCGGCGGAACCTCCCTTTAATAAACCTCCTTTTAATGAAAACGGCCTAGGACCGGAGCCGACGGACCTGGACCGGCAAAAATGACGGCCGCGAACGGCCAATTCACCAGTCGACGTGTCAGGGTGGGAGGTCTACCAACCTCCGATAGACCCATGTTCCTGCGGCATTCACCGTCCGGTGGGAAGCAACTGCAACGCCCAGATCTCAGGGGGCCCCCGTCTTCCCCCCCCCCCGGCCCTCCCCGGGGCGAAGGAGCAGAGGGGGCTCCTATGGCCACGGCGAGCCTCGGCCACGACCAGGGCCCCCGACGGAAATCAAAGCAGCGGCCCGAAGCACTAGAGGCTCCTCCCGAGCCCAAGGCGGTCCTCATTTCAGCGTCTCCGTCGCCCTCGTCCTCTCCTCGTCTCCCTCGTCGTCATCGTTCGTCGTCGCCGTCGCTGTCGTGGTCGCCGTCGTCGTCTCTGCCTGGCGTGTTGTTTCACAGCAGTGCCATTGGAAATCTGCTTCCAGCGGCCAGTTTGCACTTGCTAATTCACCTAGAATGCATACAATGTCCACAGCGTCTCTCTTTCTGCTTTGTTACTTTTTGTTGTTCTTTTTCTCTCTCTCTCTCTCTTTCCGTTTCTCTCTTTCTCTCTCTTGGCTTGATCATCATCATGACTTGTGACTGGCGACATCCGAACCTTACCCCCACCAACCATCTATTCCCCTGAGTCGATGGAAGGCAAGGGTAGGGTTCGAATTTTGCCAGGCCTTTGACAAGTTTCAAGCCCTAGCCCCGCCGCCGATCGAGTTACCTGGATCGTTAATCGGTGAAAGGTGGTGTCGGATTTCCCCGCCGAAATAGGAGGGCTTGGCGGCGAGCGAGGGAAGTGAGGAGGAGGCCTTCTCAGAAGGCTCGGACTTCTGAGAAGTTTTCCGAGCTTTCCCCGAAGACACAGAAAACCCTCTCAAAGGCGCGAGGGTTTCTGAGAAGCCTCGCCGCCTGCTGAGAAGGCCTTGTTCTTCTCAGTTCCCCCCTCGCTAGCCGCCGAAGAGTGCTACATCGGCGCTGTCTCCTCGACTACCAAGACGCGAATCGACGCTGATGCGTCCTGAAACTCTGGAACTGCCAAGGTGCATAAGGCTCCGGTGTAGCCGATCGGGCCAACTGTCCAAGAGAAAAACTGTTGGCGTTCCGCGCAGATTTCTTGGATCTGTACTGGACACCCCTCCCTGGTGCCGCTGGAGGCACGCCAGGAGCGCCGCCAGAGGCGCCGCTGCGGGGTGGTCCAGCGCGGATTCAAGAAATCCGCGCGGAGCGCCCAACAGTTTATATGTGTGCCGCTTCTTTTTTGGCTGTTTTTCTTCTTCTTCGAGACCAACTGTCCACGAGGGGGGAGGCGGCGGCGGAGGAGGAGGAGCAGGAGGAGGAGGCAAAGGAGCAGGAGGAGACGGACAAAGAGGAGGAGGAGGAGGAGGAGGAGGACGAGGAGGAGGAGGGCGGAGGAGGAGGAGCAGGAGGAGGAGAAGGAGGAGGCAACGGAGCAGGAGGAGGCGGAGGAGAGGCAGGAGGAGGAGGAGGACAAGGAGGAGGAGGAGAAGGAGGGCGGAGGAGGAGGAACAGGAGGAGGAGTAGGAGCAGGAGGAGGAGGGCTCCCACTGGGCCCCACAATCGTGGGGGGTGGCCGCCTCGAGCTCATCGCTCCTCTCGTCGGCCTCCGTCTGCCGCCCCGACATCGCCTCCGGCACCACCACCGGCGACGCCGCCCCGGGCTCCGAGGCCTCCGCTGACGTCTCCGGGGCTGCCCCGCTCCCGCTCGGTCTTCCTCCTGCGGCTCGTCCCCCTGCTCCCTCCCCGCCGTCGTTGTCGTCGTGGTTGTCCGCCGCCTCGTCCTGCTCGTCCTGCTCGTCCTCCTCGTCCTTGTCCTCGTCCTCGTCCTCGTCCTCGTCCTTGTCCTCCTGCCCTCCCCTCCCCCTCATCCTCCTCCTCCTCCTCCTCATCTCTCCTCATCTCCTCCTCCGCCTCATCCTCCCTCTCCTGCTCCTGCTCCTGCTCCTGCTCCTCCTCCTCCTCCTCCTCCTCCTCCTCCTCCTCCTCCCCACCCTCCTTCTTTCAGGAGAGACAAAAGCACCATTAGCAACAGCTAGGAGGGTGGCCACTCCCTCCCCTCGAGTTGGTGGCACCTCCTTCCGGGAACTGTCTGGAGGCATGCCCGGAACGAGGTGCCACCAGCTCGAGAGGGTGGGACAGCCACCCCCCTAGCTGGTGGTAGTGGTAATTTTGTCTCTGGTGATCCTCGTCCTTCTCTTCCTCCACCTTTGTTTCCTCGGCCCTGGCGCATCAGAAACCATTCAACGAGCGACTTGTGATGATAATGCATGATTTGGGGAGGTCAGAACATCCCCACCACTCCTAGCGAACACGAGTCGTCCCAGAAGCGCAACTCCTGGACTTCCTTCTCCTCCGCCCTCGCCCTCCTCCTGGGCCTCCCGCTCCTCGTCCGCCTCGTCGTCGTCTCCCTGATGGTGTGGGGCACACACATCGGACGACAAGGACGGCACCGAAGCCAAAAGGTGGTAACAACAAAGCGTGTCCTCGACAATCCCACCAGCCCTTTTGGCGTAGGTGGTCTAGAGCGTTCCCTCTATTACCCCTCCTTCTTCCCCTTCGGGGAAGAGTTTATCACTGCTCCCTATTAATCAACACCCCCTCCCACAGGCAACTAGTAACCAACCCAGAACCATGCGAGCACCCCTACCAAATCCGGAGCACGCGCAGCCAATCCGATGCGGCCTCCCCCCCACCATCCCTGTCAACAAAATACCGAATACACTTGGCGGCGGCGGCGGCGGATGCGGCTGCGGCGGCGGCGGCGGCTGCGGCGGCGGCGCTTGCCCCCCCCCCCCCCCCCCCCCCCGGCGGCTGCGGCGTCCGGCGGCGGAGGCGGAGTCGGCGGCGGCGGCGGCGGCCCCCCCCCCCCCCCCCCCCCCCCCCCCGGTGGCGGCGGCATGCGCGTGCGGTGGCGCAAGTATCACGCGGCAAGGGGGGGTCTGGTCTGCGGCGGCGGCGATTTGGCAGCGGGGGCGGCGGCGGCGGCGATTTCGCAGCGGGGGCGGCGGCGGCGGCGGCGGCGGCGGGCGGCGCGGCGGCGGCTGCGGCGACGGCTGCGGATTGGCCCCCACTAGCTGCCCGTCCAAAGACAACTGCTGAATGTGCTGAGGCTCGGGCCAGACTCGGGTGCTACGTATGTGTTAGGAGGGCGGGCGGGAGTGAGCGAGACGGCTTGCGGGCGGGGAGGGAGTCTTGACCCCTCCCCCTGCCCCCTCCCCTGGACCTGGGCGGGGGGTTTCACGACGCGTTGGAGCGTCCAAAACGGCCTCCGCGAGAAAGCAACGAGCATTGGCTGTACTAAGGTTTTGGCCCCATGTTGGCCTCGTGAGGGGGGACCCTAATTGGGGGCCCCTTCTCCTGTGATCGATCTCACCCAAGATGGCCCAAAGATGGCCCCCAAGGCTCCCAAGGGTGCCCCAAGAGGGCCCCAAGAGGTGGCCGGGAAGCCCCACGAGGCCCCCAGGATGCCCCCAAGAGGTCCCCAGGATGCCCCCAAGAGGCCCCCAAGAAACCCCCCAGGGGCCCCCAAGATGCTCCAAGATGCCCCGGCGAGAATGCCAAATCATTGATTGTACCAAGGTTTTAGCCACATGTTGGCCTCCTAGGGGGGGAACCGATGAAGATGACTCCAAGAGCGCCTGGGAGAGCCCGAGATGACCTCCAAGATGGCTCAAGATATCCCAAGATGTCTCATAATGGCTCCCACGATGCTGCAAGATGCCCCAAGACCCCTCCAAGACGGCTCCAAGTGGCCAAAGAGCCCCCCCAGGAGTCCCCGAAGAGGCCAACACCTTAGGAAAACATGTTTTTGACTTTCTCGCCTTTTCGCTTCCGATGGCCATCCGAGGCCTCAAGATGGCTCCAAAATGGCCCAAGAGGGCTCCAAG